TATTATTATTATATTAGCAGAAATGCATCAGAAATAGTTGGTTGAATCTAACGTTATGTATATGCCAGTGCTAGCTGATCATGCCTTGGAGAGCACATAAGCTATGCAGAGGAAGGGAGAAAAAAGAATGTATCATGCATGGAAGGCTTCTCATCTGATGCTGCAAAAATAGCAAGTTTTTTCATAATAACACAGCTCAAACTTCCTCCAACAGGGTGAAGTTGGTGATGTCGGGCTTGATGGTATTGATGGACAGGAGGTATGCTTTAAACCAGACATTTCAATGAGTCTAAACATTTTATGTAGAGTCCATTTTCTGAGATGGATTAAAGATGTTTATAGCTTTTGAATAAATGTAGAATCAAATTAAGTCACAAAACAGCTGCAACAGCACTAAGAAACCAGGCATCTGTTTAAAATGTTATGATCTTATGAATGCTTTGTAAAAACTACTGAAAGAAAGGACAAGGCTCATAAAAGCTTTCCAGATGGCTTCTGAAAGATTGGAGACCCTCTCTAATCCAGATCCTTTAAGAAACATGGTTCACAGGCTTATCGTGTTACTTTTTCTTTTGGGGCTCTAGGGAGAACAAGGATTTCTTTAAAATGTTATGATCTTATGAATGCTTTGTAAAAACTACTGAAAGAAAGGACAAGGCTAATAAAAGCTTTCCAGATGGCTTCTGAAAGATTGGAGACCCTCTCTAATCCAGATCCTTTAAGAAACATGGTTCACAGGCTTATCGTGTTACTTTTTCTTTTGGGGCTCTAGGGAGAACAAGGATTTCCTGGATCACATGGACAAAAGGGCCATTCAGGACGAAGGGTAAACTGAATTTCATGTTTGAATGCATTATGGGTAGGAGGCACTGTAACTTCTTGCAGATTTCCCCAGTTTGGAATTTCTTGCTGGGGATTCTCAGATATACAGTGTCAATACATCTGGACATAGATGTATGTATGCTATGTAGCATTCTAAGCACAATTCGGACTCTTTGGAAACTCCTGTGAATTAATGATTATATGAAAAATAAATACATTAATTACCCAAAAGGATTGAATAGTGCCAATTGATCTATCTCAAGGGGAATCAGACACAAGTGCTGTAATCTAGCATAGAGTTAAATGACTTTAGCCCCCTTCCTTTCCACATTACTATCATGAACGTGACTACATACTGGATGGTGAGCACCAAACAATAATTCTGGGATGAGAACGTAATGAGTAGCCCTAGAAAATGTGAGGTGATGTGCTCTAAGTTAACTCTTTTTTTCTCCTCTTCTCGTCATGGTTAAAGGGTACAGAAGGCCCTAGAGGAGAACCGGGTGAGCATGGACAGCCTGGAGTAAGAGGAGACTATGTAAGTAATAGTAACTATTGCTTTAGTTTCAAAAACAAAATAAACAGAACGACAGTAATCAGAAATACCAATTTTAGAATTATTTTTTGCATTTCTAAAACAGTTGTTAGCCACTGTTCCTGAGAGGGAAAGGGCAGATATACATGTAATAAAGAAGTATAGTAATAGGCCTGTACCTCAGTAGGTAACAGCATGTGGCCAAATATATCTGAGGAAGCAAAGCACTACTGGGCCTCATTAGTACTTGGATGGGAGAGCACCAGGGAATACCAGGACTGTAGGCTTGTCTGGGAAGTTGGGAAAAAAACCTGATGCCACCATGGCAAACCACTTCCATACTGTTGCTGGACAATTACACAGATATCTGTGATATGACCAGCTCTCCTCGATCTGAGGAGATTTCTTCCTTTCTGGAATTGCACTGTGGCCTCTTTGTAGCCTTTGTAGCAAACCACTTCCAAAATCTTGCCAAGAAAACAGCAGGGACTAGTCCAGGTAGTTTACTAGTCAACAGTGACTTGAAGGCACATCCACACACACAAAAAGTTGGTTATCTCCTAGAGTTTACTCTACCAGAATGGGTTCAAGGCCTCCTGCATCCTGGGGACTGTAGGTTGGCTGTTCCTGCATTAGAGCCAGTACAAATAGAATAGAAACTTGGGCCCTGAACTCTAACACAGCTCCGATGGCTTCCATTTGGTCTAGTGTTACAAGGGAGTGCCTTTCCTATTCATGTAAGTTCTCCATGTACTTGAAACTCCAGTCTTCAGTGCTCTGAATCACACAGGAGCCTACAGATATGGAAAAGGCTGCAAAAGGCTGAAAAACTACCTTCCTTCTGATCTAAGGAAGCCAGCTTAAGCAACACAACAATAGGTTATTGAACTTCCTCTTCTTAACCCCAGCTGGCAAGATGCTTCGGAGTGGTGAAAATAGTAATACAGCAACATATGAAAGATTACTTCAAGTTGTGCCCTAAACTGGCAGTGTTTCAAATATTTGGAATAGTGGCTGAGGTTGAGACCTGGTAGAAGTTATGACTCCAAAACCTTTCTTTCCTTTTTTTTAAAAAATAAATCAAGTTGCATAACTGAATGCTATTCTCACGAAGGCTATAATGTTACAAATGGCCCCAGTTATCAGTACAGTACAGAGTTTGGCATAGTCCTGCTGTTTCGTTCTGCTCCATGTTTACATGAAAATCTTTGTAACTGCTTCATGCAATTGACATGGGTGGCATAATGCCCTTCAGAAGAATGTTTTTTGTTTCTTTCTTTGGTAGGAAGTTTGTGTGAGTTGGAATTGATCATACTTGAAAAGCTGCAAGTAGCACTGAAGAAGGCTTTATAACTTTGTGGCAGATCGCTCATCTAGGTGGCTATCTGTTCTGAACAGGACAGTCCACGGGACAGTCCTGAATTGGAAAGTGTTCCAGATTACTTAGTCCTAATCTAATTTAACAGTAATGAACCATAGAACATATAACAATAAACAAAAATAAGGAAAACCAGAGAACCCTTGAAGCTTCCCAGCAGCAGTGATCAGTTGTTTAACAAATTAAACCTCAGAAACACAAATAATCTATTCACAACTTAAATTATATAATTATAAGTTTGTATCTATAGATGTAAGTTTGTAGTTACAAATGTTATGGAAACCTAAACCCACCAATGATCAGTGGATTTCAGTTTTATCCCCAAGAATGTTCCAGAAATATATCTAGACTGCCAAGGCTTGCTCTGGATAGAATGAATGCTGGTGGCTAGAACCAAAAGCCAGTGGTTGGTTAGAACCAAGAGGCCAGCAGCATCCCGTGGGGGGAGAATGGGGGGAGAATGATGGAAACAGCATTGCAATGTTGCAACTCAAGTCTTGCCCCTTTTGTACATGCATCATATGCATCATGACATTGCATGCATGTATGAAAAGGGCAGAGTTTATGGGGTGACACTGCTTGCACCGTTTGGGCAAAAACAGCAAGCCCCTGTAGAGCCCATGCAAAGGGCTGAACACAGAATCAGAGTCAAGGTACAAACCAGAAATAAGGACCTATCAAATCCGATAGGACCAAAAGACAACGACAAAGTGCACATGGGAATGCATCAAAGCCAGGAAGACCTTGTGGCTCAACCAAGATCCAAGCTCAGAAGAGCATCCTATGTAGACCTCCAGTTCAGGAGGATCTAATGCATCTCATGTCAGAGGATCTGCTGCTTGCTATGTGTGATTACTAATCCTAATAGTCCATTTCACTGAAATGGCATGATGATTCCAGAAACGTCTTCCTTTCCTGTACATGCATACATACATATGTATATTTGGCAAAGGTTATACTATAAGGGAGATAATGTCCCCCAGTCCATTGTTGGAAATATAGGAAATTACTTGGTCTGATAATTCAGAATGTTGCTGTGTTTTTCTAAAAGGTAAAGGGATAGACATTATTTTGTATAAAGATATTTATATCTTCAATCATGAATCTACCTACTCAGATTGTATGCTTGGCTTTCTTGCCCACCACAGTGATTTCCTCTATTGCTTCAAGGGAACTATTCTGTTGCTTTTGACTAAAGGCCTAACTTTATACTAAGATGAATGTAGATTCTATTACTCTGACCCATTTTTTTTCAGCTGCAGGAAAAGCAGAAGTCTGTGAAACTACTTAAGAACTTGTTTGTTCTTTTCAGGGGTTTCCTGGCTCTGACAACAATGATCCTGGTCTTCCTGGTAATAGAGGAAACATGGGGCCACAGGTATCCAAGCATCTAGAAATCATTAAGGGCATACCAAGCTATTTCTAAATATAATGTTGCACATTTTTGCCAGTCTGCATCTTGTTCTCTTATGATACTGAATCAGCAGATTATCTATTCATTTACTAATGCTGATTAATACTCATTTTGAGATTCAGATGCATCAGATGTAAAGAAAAAGGGAGAGCCACTCAATACCTGACTAGTGGCTCCATTTCACCTCAGGTCTGATTGTTGGAGGCACACAATGTTTCATTGTTCCCGGTGGATTTTAGCAGGTCTCCAGAGTCAGCTGAAGCCAAATTGAATTAAGATGCTATTGGCAGTGTCAACTGAATTTGCAAGTGTCTGTTATTCAACTTTTTCAGATTGAATCAGGTTTATACACGCACATGACATGTTCACACAGCAAACATGTGCCTGCAACATGCACACACATACTCACAATTGCAGTGAGGTGGCTAATAACAAGTCATACCATATTGTGAACATTTGCTTGAGTCACAGGTTAGAATTCAGCACACATATATGGTGGAGCCTAGAAAAGACACAAATGTAATTTAAATAATCTTGCCGTCCTTTGCAGGGAGAACCTGGAGCTGATGGAGAACCAGGAGAAGCCGGCGAGAACGGTGCAACAGTAAGATTACTTATATGCAGAGAAAGTAAATGCTTATGGCAAACACTACAGCTATGGTTAGAGGAACAATGCCTTCCCTTTCTCAAATGTAATCTCTCCTAAAAATATCCTAAAATTAGGTGAAGGTAATTCAACAAAGAGGAAACCAAAGTGAGGCCAGGGGTTCCCAAAAATGTTCTTGGTTTATGGTGCTTTATGGTCTCAGTAATTTTTTTCACGGTGACCCTAGGCTTGTAGTTCACATAGTCTCTGACAGATGTCAAGTAGTGTTGTGATATCCTGCAGCACCCTGTGAGTTTGCTGCAGTGCCCATGTTTGACGTGGCACACAGTTTGGGAACCACAGCCCGAGGTATGTAGGAAATAGCTTCTTAAGCCTATTAAATCCTTTTCTGTACATGTCTTGCCTTTTTTCCCTTGTGATTGGTATCACCTCCCTTTTTTTCCCCTTCTGTTTTAAGATGCTTTGGCCTAAAACAGGTGCATCATTGGTTACTGTAAAAAAGAAAAAGGGATATCTATAATTACAAGGGTGTCTATAGGAGATGTCAAAAAAATCAAGATGACATGGGCAAAGACCTGCACCTTTTTAATGTGCATTGCACATGCCTCCCCTCCCCCCCACCCCCCCAGATGCTCCTGATTAATTACTCAACTTTGGGTCATTAGATGGCATTGGCAAGCCATTCTCTTGAGCTGCAGCAGTATAGTCAATGGTGGGTACTGTAGTCCCACAACATTTGGAAAGACAGGGCAATGAAATGCTGCTGTAACATAACCTAATACTCATTTGAGAGGGCTTTTGGAAATAGCCCTCTTCTACACACCAATAGCTTCTTAATCTCTAGTAAGCTTATTCTGATTCAGTACAAACTGTTGGTGTATTTTGGTTCTTTGGCGAGGCTTGTAGAATCTTTAGGATTGATCAATGTAAGTATTACTAAGAAAGGGGTGGCAGTGAATGTCCTCTTGATGAATCTGGAGCTGCTGCTGAAGTATCTTCAAGGCCTTTTAAGCAGCCAATTTAAGGTGAACGTTTCACATAGGCTTAAAAGTGTATTTCAAACTTGGCAACTTTAAGATGTGTGGACTACAACTCCCAGAATTCCCTGGCCAGCATGCTGGCTGGGGAATTCTGGGAGTTGAAGTCCACACATCTTAAAATTGTCAAGTTTGAAAAACACTGGCTTAAAGTCTGCAGTCCTGTGCTTTCAGAACTTGCTTCAGTATGAGATGTTATCACTGCTTTTCCTCCTTCTTTTTTTAGGGTCCCAGTGGGCTAAGAGGTACTCCTGGCTCAGAGGTTAGTAACTGTTGCATTACGTACTACTACATTACTGAGAACTGAGTCTGATTTTTCCTCCTCTCTCATTTAAAAATGGGTCCTGGGGAATTCACATTGAGTTCATGAATAGCAATAGATGATTTTGCAGACTCATTCCAGTGCTGAATCATTCTTGATATCGGGAACTAATAATTTAAAAGAAAACTGACTTTCATGAAATTAATGATATTTCTAATTGTTCTTGGAAAGGCTGTTAACTTTTCTCTGCCAGTGAAAATGATCAAATCTTGAACTGCTAATAATTAAACTTAAAAAATCATGACATACAACCCTGTCCAGATCTTAATTTATCCATTCTTTTTAATAAGGGTATAATTATTTGATCACAAAGTTTAACCCTTGCTTCATTTTCATGTCTGTTTGGGCCAGAGTAGTAACAAGTTATTCTCCTGCCCTTAGAAAACTCCTTCCTTGAGTTTATTCTGCATCTTAATGAATTTATTTCATTCGACAGTATTTCATTTTGCTGAATATGAATGCTCATTATGAACTCAAAAATGACAGATGCTTCATACTTCAAATAATGAAAGTTTAATGGCATTCTCCAACCCATTGTTTAGCCATATGCACTGTATTTTCAAATGTTTATTTACTTATTGCATTTATATCTTGCATTTTCTGTGGTAACAGATGATGCCAGGTATGGAAATCTCCACTAAAATAACAGCCCTACAGGGCTGAAAGAGAAAGATTGGCCCAAAATAAATCAGCAAGATCTTAAATTCATTAAGATACAGAATAAATTCAAGAATCCTGACTGAAAAGGACCTACATAATCTGCTTCTTCTAGGGCCCTCTGAAGCTGGAGATCGACCACCTTCTCAACAACCTTCCCTAAAAAGGCAGTGTTGGAAACTGGATTAAAGTTGTCCAGATTGGTTGGATCCAGCTATGGTCTCTTGAAGAGGGAATGCACCCCACCTCCTTCAGAGCCAGTGGAACTACCCCCTTCTGTAATGAGGCATTTACCATCCCATGGATACACCTACATGCCCTCCCCCTGAGGCTTTAACCAACCAGGAGGGATATAGACCCAAAATACAAGTGGCTACATCCACAGCTCCAAGGACTGTGTCCATTTCCTTGGAACTAACAGGCTGAAACCCATCCCAGATAACATCACCATATTGTGCCTTAGTTGCTAGTCAAAGTGAGAGCAAATCCAAGTGATTTTATCCATCAGGTGTCATTAGTCTTCATAGTGACCCTTCAGATGGTCCATTGATCCAACCATGTAACAAAGCCTCAGGAAAGCTCCCTCTGAAACTCAGTAGGTCCATTAGGTATGTGGGGCAAGCTGACTGAATAGACCCTGCCTTCCTGTGTACTACAGTAAACTCCAGGGTTACCAGATAGTGATCTGTCCAGATAGTGATATCTCCCAACTCAGATCATGATGCCACTGCCCTGAGACAAAAGATAGGTCTAATGTGTGACCTCCCCTGTGAGTTGAGCCTGCAATAAGCTGCATCAGGTCCCTGATGGTCATGGTGACCATGAACTCCTGTACTGCCTTCAAGTCTGCCTCCACAGATGGCAGATTGAAGTCCCCAGGACCATAAATCTGGAAACCACTGCCAGCCTAGAGACAGCAATCAAGCAGAGCATGGCTCCCAACTGATCCCAGAGGCCCAATCTCATCAGTAGGGCCTGATACCCAGCTATTTGCAGGGCAGTGCCCCTGACACCATTTAAATTCTGCAAGCATATAGCTGTACATTGGTGGCTTTTTTTGTATTTTAATGGAAACCCTACACAAAAATGCTTGGAAAAGATTTGGATTTCAGAGATGGAACTGGGCAAGCTTATGTGTAAAAGTGGAGTGTGATTGCACATTAGCCTTGCCTTTTTTTTTTTTTATCCGCACTCAATCGTGACCGATTCTGCGGCTGCCTGGACGAGTCGCTGCAGTTTTCAAGGCAAGGTGTTTCGGAAGTGGTTTGCCAGAGCCTCCTTCCTAGAGCAGAGCCCAGCTGGTGAGCGCAGGAGGCGGGGTTTCCATTGCTTCGCGCCTTTTTTGGGCATGCGCGGCTTCCGCTGTGAATGAAATGTTGGGAATGGGTGGACTGGTGGATAAGGCTAAAAGAGGTGGGTAGGACTAGAAAAAATAGTTTTAAATAAATGAAAATGTAATTTCATTTCATTTAAAAAATAATCAAAGAAAGCTTAAGAACTCCCCCACCTCATGTATATATGGAATTTTCCTCCTCTGCCACATCAAAAATTAAAATTCAGCAGCACTTTGGGGGAATGCTCTGAAGGTTGTATACTGGGTATGTGACCCTAGGGGCCTGAATTTGCCTACCTCTGGTAAAAGGCAGGTGTATCAGGAACTTGAGAAGCAATGCAGAATAGTGTTCAGAATGGTGTGAGATTGGGAGTTCAAAGATGCAGGCCCCAACTCGTTAAACCACTTACTACTTTTCAATCTTATAATTAAGGGCAAATGTCTTATGGACTGCCTCAGGTTTCTTGGAGGAAGATGGAAACAATTTAAAAATAGCATTAGAGAAGATTTAGTTCTTCAGGAGCAGTAGGTTGCTAGATACCAGTTTCTGAGGGCAGCAGCCAAAGAGAAAGATTGCCTTCTTTTGAGATTTCTTGAAATGGGTAGATTTTTTCATAGTTGGATAAAGGGACCTTGCCCTCAAAGTCCAAATGCCTCCTGCCATAGTAGCGATCTTGGCATATTTCTTGCCTTTTTGTCTAGGCTGACATTAGTATGATTTCCTTTCCGTCTGCCTTGCGATCCAACTATTCACTGGCAGTATTCTCATAGAACCCTAGAGGGCCCTGCAGGCTTTGACATTTTTCTAAATTATTTCTATTCCCTCACTTTAGCAGAACAGTTAGAACATAATGGGAAAATTATCCTTCCATCAAAAGTTTATCATTTGCATAGCTGAAGCTTTCTTTTATGCATTTCTAGACTCTCCTTTATTAATCATTGCCTGAGATGGCTAAATGTATGTTAATTCTTAAAATTGTTCACATTGTCTTTGTTCTAAAATTTCAATCGAGTTACCAAAGGCAGCTTCCCTCTGCCTGATGCCTTCCAGAGGAGGTGAAACTGTGAAAATTCTAGGTCTGATTTCCATTTTTTTTTTTTTTTTACGATTTCCATGTCAAGAAAGTAAAAATTTGGTGAAACTGACTATTTTAATTAAAGACTTTGTCTAGCTTTGTTTCTACTTGGAAACCGCTTTTGGACTTTTTGCTTGAAACGGAAAGAAATGAAATTTAATTTTGGGATTTGATGATTAATATTGTTTATGACCATAGAAATACTGTGTATTAGTTTAAACTTTAGACTGAGAGGTGAATGTATTATATATTTGTATCTGTACCAAAGAAAGTTGGAAATTACCTTTTTCTTCTTCTTTTTTTTTTCCTTTTTGTACCTTAAATTTCATTCTTTTTCTGATCTTTCCTTTTTTCAATGTTTTTTTTCCTGTTTCCTTTCATTTTATATTTTGCTGAAATTTAATAAAGTTCTTATTAAAAAAAATGTAAAAATTAGATCACTGTTTTAATGGCCTTGATGTTTTACTGCAAAAACAGAACCTCATGGCTTTGATATTTTTCTAAGTTGCTAATGAGTGAGTGCACCCTATACCCTATTAAACTCCTTACATCAGCCTTTTGCAACCTGGTACCATCCAGAAGTATTATACTGCAGTTCTCATAATTCCCAGCCATGGTGGTTACTGTTGAGTGAAAATCATAGCATTTGTAGTCCAATGTTTTTGGAAGGTATCAGATTGGAGAAAGGTGCAATATAGGCAGGTAAGTGGCTTAAATATCTATATTCATGTAGTTCCTCTTCCTCCTCGGGATTTTGACTAACATGGATTGCATAAACTATTCCATACTTGGCAAGAATACAATAATATCAGTAGATTTGTAAATGTTTACAAATGCACATTTCTTTTATTTCTTCATTTATTTGACAGGGTGAACCAGGAAATGAAGGAGAGCAAGGTTATCCTGGGGAAGCAGGGATACAAGGCCAACAGGTAATATTAAAGTTATATTGAGCAGCAATAGCTAACGTAGCATGGAATAAAGTATACATTTATAACATGTCCAGTGTTTAGAATGGCTTGTGGTAGTTTGCCCAAACTGAATTCTGCACAGCATATTGCAGTGAGGGCTCATCTAATTAGCTTTCTGCAGGCCTGAATGAATATAGACAAGCATTTTTCCTATAGTTGCTATGTATCAAAGCAGTATATCCAGGACTGCATCTGATTTAACATGTTACCTGCATCTTACACTAGACTAATATTGAATCTAATGTTTCTGTCTGGCTGTATTTTATGATTCACCTCTTTCTTCCTCACTAGGGTGTTTCAGGGTCAAAAGGAATACCTGGACCCCAGGGACTACAAGGCCTACCTGGCCATCAGGTAAAATGGAAATTACCTTACTTTTGGTATGAATTAAATTAACTTTAAATCTAAATTGCTAAAACAAACTAACCATTTCAGCCTAATCTTAATATACATGTGGCCATGTAGGATTTGACTGGAATATAGTCACTTGTGCATCAACCTTTCACAGAGGAGATTTGAAAAAACCTAAAAATGGGTTGTTTGTCATTCTTGTATAGTGAATCCTTGCTTTAATGGACTGATTGGGTGGAAGGGGGGTGTCTGTTATCCCTCCCGTGTCATTGCAGTCATGCCAATTACTCAAGCTATTTTATCTCCATGATGACATCATTCTACAAATGAGATAAACTATCATAAATGATACAGTTTGTACAATGGCGCCATTATACAACTGACATAAATTGCAACAGAATTGAGGCTGCAAAACTGAGGCTGGGTGGAAGGCGGGTGTCTGTTATCCCTCCCGTGTCATTGCAGTCATGCCAATTACTCAAGCTATTTTATCTCCATGGTGACATCATTCTACAAATGAGATAAACTATCACAAATGATGCAGTTTGTACAATGGCACCATTATACAACTGACATAAATTGCAACAGAATTGAGGCTGCAAAACTGAGGCTGGGTGGAAGGCGGGTGTCTGTTATCCCTCCCGTGTCATTGCAGTCATGCCAATTACTCAAGCTATTTTATCTCCATGGTGACATCATTCTACAAATGAGATAAACTATCACAAATGATGCAGTTTGTACAATGGCACCATTATACAACTGACATAAATTGCAACAGAACTGAGGCCACAAAGCTGAGGCTTCACCAAGCTTCAAATTTAAATCATGTGTTTGCTAAAATGTACATTTAAATTTGGCAGTTGCCGAACATAGGCTCAAAGACATTACATTTTTGTGGATATCAAAATTAAAGACCTATGATGCAGTGCAACTGTAAGATGATACAACCTGGTGGACTCCAACTGTAAAGTACAGACTATGACAGTGATGGCAAACCTTTTGGACTTGGCGTGTCAAAAATTCAGAAAATGCCTCACCTGACTCTGCTGGTGTGTCACCCGCCTCCCCAAACAAAAGAGAAACAATTCTTAACATATTCATTTATTTAAAAAAAAAATACAGTCCAATCATGTGTGGTGGTATGTATTATATAAAGAAATGGCAAATAATTACAAAAATGAAATACAAGTAAGCAAACTTAGTTCCTTTGGTAACTCAAAGAGGGAGAATAGTTGTTGTTGGGTGTTGGTGAATGGTGCCATGTCACCCAAAATGTCATGGCATGTCACCTTTGACATGTATGTCATAGGTTTGCCATCACTGGACTATGAAGTCCATGATGTGATTCAATTGCAAGCAAGATTCTCATGCACAGAAATACCCAGGGATCCTAAACGAAATGAGATTATTTGAAATGCAACAGAGTAGGAAAACACATTTGAAGGTAATTCTTCCTCCTTTGAATCATTGGTCTGGTTCAGATGAAATGTGGACTGAATCCTCTCCTTCTGAGATACTTTAATTCCCTTTATAATTTGTATTAAGCATTTTGATTATAATAGTAAAATTGATTACAAACTAAACTTAAAGAAGAGAATAGAAAGAAGGAGTAAATAGTGCAAGAAAAAAAGAGAGAAGAAAGAGAAAAGTAAAAATAAACATTTATCTCTTCATCCCATCCCATCTATAAACAAATCCATAAAACATAACCTTTTCAGAAAAGGTTCTTTAATCCCTGTGAAAGGTTTTTTTTCTCCAGCCTTTTTTCCAGGAATTAAATGAATTACTGGAGAGAAAGTAACTTTCCCCTTTCCTTTCCTTTCCTTTCCTTTCCTTTCCTTT